TAAAAGTTCATTATTTTTATATGGATATACTAGTGTATACGCACAAAAATGTGTATATTTGTTCCTAAAAGGCACAAATTTATTACTGAACACTTTTTTGATTAACGTGATGTGGCACAGTATGCTTCATCTAAGTAACCAAAGTTCGCTCTTGCTGTTATTTGAAAATTTTTAAATTGCATTCAAAATAACAATTTATAGGTGTAGGACTTATTCTGAACTTTGCGGGGAAATAAACATCCTTTCCTGGTATTCAACAACAATTTTCTGCACAGATTAGATCTCTTTTAGTTACATAGCCATTATTTGTTTTAAGTTCTCTTATACCTTTTTCAATATTGCGAACCTTGTCTGGAGAGATTTGTCGATTAATATCACTATTAAGTAATGATAAATAAAACTGTGCATGGTGTTGTGTCCCAATTAGATAACTTAAAATTTTGATAATTTATTTATTTTATAATGTTAGTATAAATATACAATATACTAATATTTTAATAAAATCTTATCGTTTCACACATAAAGTTACTGAGGGTTTTTTACAACGTCTAGTATTCTCGTGTTTCTTAGTACAGACGAGAATACTTCCATTCCATTTTTTCTATTTTTTTAATGAGGTGGTAATTTTAGTTTAGCTGGTCTTATAAATCAGGCTCTAGTGATAGTATATAGAGTAATCAAATAAAAATAAATTTGGGCTCTTATGTAAAACATCAATCAAAAGATGTTTGAGCCAAGAACGACTCGAGAGTATAACTTGAGTGTATCCCAAAAATGAGAAGACTTTACAATAGTATGTCGATCATTAATTGTATGAGTTGTTAATTCTTTACAAGCTTCACTCTTCTAGCATTGGTTGAATGCAACGGCTAGTTCTGCGTTTTCCTTGAAACCGTCTTTTTCTTGCACTTCTTTCGATTTGGCAGCTTGCGCTTCTTGCACGGTTGTATATAATTATCAGAGTCTGTGTCTAAATTATATGAAAGCAACTTTAAAGTTCATACTAAAACAGCTTCATATATTATCATTCTTACCAACAAATTTGTTAGTATTTTTGGCTTTTGGTTTCGACAAATTCTTCTTCCTTGGAAGCAGTTTCTTTTTTGGGGAAGCGATCGAAGTCAGTGGTTTTTTGACTTTACATCTTTCATTTTTAGGTTTTCGCTTGCGAATTCTTTGCTTCGCAGTTTTTCGCTTCTTGATACGCTCTCGGGTTCTGACCGCATGAAGGAGTTCACAGCTATCCTTCAAATCTAAAAATTTTTTGCTGCAGAAATAAAGCAGAGAAGAGGTAAGACTTCATCTCATATCCAAGACATTTTTATAAACTTACGACAAAGGTGGATCCATGAAATCATTGTTATAAAGAGCTGAACACAAGTTTCCCATTGCCAAATGTTAATCTATTTTTGAATTTTGGAATTATGTAATCACTAATTTTTTTTAAATTGTTCTTTTGAAACGTACTCGAAAATAAAATATTTTAAATGAAATAACAAAACTGTATTAGCAACTAACATTTTTTTGGAAAATCAATGATAACTTTATAAGTTAAGTTAATTTGACGGAAAATCAAAATAAAATAATGTTATATTAAAATTTTTATGTGCTATGACTAGATCGCCCTAACAAATCTTAAGTCCACCTCAGGACGCACAGGAAGATATGCTGATCAACGGTCCGTCATCAGTTAATAAATAAATGATAATAATTCTAGTATAGTTAAAGCTTATCCCTGCCCCACAACATCAACAACATAGAAATTTATTTCCAATAAAACTGAGAGAAATAAAACTGAGAAATTTGTAAATCCAAACATTATTCAGGTTTCATTAAAAGAATTCCTGGGCTGATCATATAATTATTTCGGATGATGAAAAATATCCAAATCATGGATGCGTGTGTGGATGTATTAACATAAACAATTGCACTTGCTGTGTTAATAGCTAAAACTAACGCATAAACTTCAGCTATATATATTAAACTAACAGTTGTAAATTGTTGCTTTTGCACATAAAATAGATTACTTCCATTGTATCCGTGTTAAAATGTAAGGGATATAGTGTGATAGCTTGATTTATTAGCGGAAAACCACAACTATTTATTGCTAAAATATAAATAATAAAATGCACACAGTGAAGCAACATGAGACTTAGAAGCTATATCTTTGTGAGGTCATACAAGTTTCAAGAATAACAAGATTTCACAAGAACACGTCCAATCCTTTGATAAGAAATGTGTTTGTCAACAGTATACATCTAATATTTTGACATTTATGTAGCTTAAAGAAATGAAACACTACCCTTTTGGTGGTTCAGGCGATTATGGTGATCGATTGTATCAATCAACTCCATGTTGGTGTTTTTTAATAGGGACGTTCTCTATAAAAAAAATTGTGGTAAAAAAATTTTGGAAAATGATTACAGCAATGGTAACTACATATTTTGATGTGGGAGTGAATATTCAATGCTTCTCTATTTCAATTCCTATTAAATATCGCCATACCTTAATAGGGTTTTAACTTCATTCATTCATTGTTTTCCATCATTTGTTTGGGATTGATTGAATAAATTGTATTAGTACGTACCCTACTAATCTATATGTCTACTTAATTAGTAATTTTTTATGAAAATGAATGACTATTTTTTTATAGTGTGTAAATAAATATATTGTGTAAATTCTCCATTATGATCCAAACATGTACGTATTTACATGTATCCTTCCATAGGCACTACATTCTTCATTTACTACATATTGCTCATTGTACACATGAGGATCGCATAATTCAAATTTTGGGATTACGCATGTGTTTCAAATGATCTTAAAAGGTTATATATAATCTATCAATTGATATCCGCTAGTGTGCATCAAGTAACGCCTGTATGTGTGCTCCTTAGCTTCAACTGACTTTCCAGCTTTTGGTGCAGTACTTCAACATCAGAATTGCCGGATCGATTTTGTCAATACTTGTTCGCATATATACTGAAAAGTATTTTTCTCGCATCAATTTTTGGAAGCCCACCGACTAACAATTATTGCGCAGAATTAATCGAATTTATTCGAAAACATACCTTGCTATATTAGCTGTTTAAATTTATAGTGTGGCTTAAGTGTGAAGTTGGTAGGGAATTTTCTTTCTAATTCCAACTATAGAGAAAAAAGTATTATCGCATATATTGCTGCACTTGGTGTTAAAGTTTTTGGACAATTGTGACACAATCACAAGTTCCAAATTGAATATTTTTTTAATTAATATTAATTTTTTAATTTTAACTGAATCAACTAACTGTACTTTATTTTTAATCACAATGCCAACACTAATAACGCAACGAGGTTTATCTCATCATTTAAAAGATTTCAGTGATTGATCTTCTGTCAAATCATCTTATAATAATCAATTATAAACTCAAGTTATGTTATGTTTAGTTAAAAGAGTGACTGTTGATCACTCTTTTAGGCTATTACTATGTGATCCCTTTAAAGTTACAGCGAAAAGACGAGCTACACTAACCAACTAAGAATTATTAAGAAAAATGTTTAAAAAATAGATGATTTAAATGTTAATATTTAAGAGCTTAAATGATACACAATAATATGGTATGGTTTTAAGAATTAAATCGATTTTCTGTTTTTCCATTAAGTATTATTCGTGAATAAGCAATTTCGTCATATATGGTATATGATAAGTAAAGGACCTGACATGTTTGTGTAAAATAATTAGTGTTTTTATAATTGCGAGCAAAAAAGTCATTATGAATTGCACACGTATGCGAATAAATTAGTCGTAATTTAGTAGCAATTAATGCCACAAAATGGAGTTGGAAAAAATTCAAAATTAACAAATGCAAATGATTAGAGTGACAGCAAAGGCTAATAGCGACCACACATGGCGAAGCACAAGGATAACACATCCTTCTGTGCTACAACGATCGAAATTGAATCGCGTCTATGGTCAATGGCACACGGCTTTCAACGAAGCTAATGAACGGACCAAATAAGTCATAAACCAAAATGAAAAGTGTGTTGCTCCGTGGCAAAAAATTTGCTAAAAACGGAAAATAAATTTTTCAAGGAAGAAATAAAAAACGTTAAACAGAGCAAGCATGTCAGTTGCATTGACAGGCGGCGGTGGCGCATTGGGCAATTGGTAATAGTAGTGGGCAGCGGAAGCGGAAATGACATTAAACGGAATTATATCGACTACGTTAAAAAATTGTCATCTTCATTTACGAATCGAGAGTCGAGTTAAGTTTTTAATTTGAACGTGGCACGAAATTGAATGTTGTACGGCACTCATATACGCTCGCAACGAAAATGCTTAATTGAAATTGCAAATTGTTGCTGCTACACTACCCCTGCACTGCTGCCACTATACTCCTCTACTCGTGCATTGCTGCGTTGCCGCTTTTGCCATTACCATTGCCGATGCCAATGCTGTTGCTGTTGCTGTTGCTGTTGCTGCTGCTGCAGTTGCTTTTGCCACATGCCGCATGGCATATGCCACATCAAGTATTGACAGTCACGGTTTGAGATATAGGTAAAGATACAACGGTCGTACGTTACCGATTCATTGAACCATACACGATGGACAATTAATTTGACCTGTAACCGATGGATTGAATTTTTGTACACTTTGTTTCTGTAATTGTAGCTCGTGTCTTCGTTGTTATTGGTGTTGTTGTTGTTGTAGTTGAGCTCATATTAACTGTCGAAATGGTCATGCAGCATTTACATATTGTAGCGTGCAATATTACAAAATATCGTATAGCATAAATGATTGCTAAAACATTTAAGGCTTTTTCGTACTTTGTAAATATTTTCCTTTTTTCCACTTTTCCATTTTTCCATTTTTCCTTTTCAAGCTGTCAGTTTTCAATTTTTGTGCTAATGAACCAACTGCGCTGCTCGCTTCAAGTGCTCGCTGCAATGCACGTTGTCCTTGTTGTCCTTTAATTTATTGTTAATATATATATATATATATATATATATATATCTCACGTATGCTGAAATGGGCAAATGAGTCGAGTTAACAACGAAATGTTGTTGGCAAATGGCTTTTAGGCAAATTGAATTAGTAGCGTAAACTGGTGCTTCAAAAAGGATTCATTAAATTGTATTGACAAATTGTTAACGCATCATCATCATCATCGCCAGCATCAGTATCGGCATCAGCGTTATTATCATCATTCCCAACGAAAGATCACAAAGGCCTCCCATGGACATGCCGATTATGTGACTGTGCAAAGAGCATTTCAAATGAAACAAATTAATATGCAATAATATTTTAAGTTCGTTTGACAATTGAAAATTTTTATGGTAAAGTTAAAAAAAAAATACACTGAGTTACCATTTTTGTTTATTAATGCATTTTCCTAATTGAAACGTTTAATTAGAGAAGTTAATTGCTAAAAAATATTTACACAAAATAAATCTTAAATCAATGTTCTTTTGAATAGGTATATGACAATACTCGTATCATGTCTGGAGTTATGAACATTACTATTATAATTTAAGTGAAGAACACAATACACCGCCCCTCAGATGATATTTATTGAAACCCTTTTTTACTTATCTAACTCTAAGAGGAGTAACCAGCCTGTCCCCCAGAAAGCTACTATAATTGTGATAATACCACATTCGAAACTTATAAATTTATTGTAGTAAAGTGCGTTAAAGCGCATTTAAGTTATATACTTATAATTTTAAAATACTTGAACAAAATTTTAGATTAGATTAATCTACATATAGAGCTATTAAACTCTAGCAATATTAGATGGAGCTTAATCTTTATGTAGGCAACAAATAGCATGTTAACGCTTTATTTACAAGCCCAAGAAGTGCTTGAAACATCATTAACGAGACGAGGCTCCCAATACAATACAACACGTAATGAAATTGGCGTCTAAGCCCAGCAGTCTGTTATTTGTAGTCTGTAGTCGCAATACTATACTATCTGAGAAGTCTATTCTGAATGAAGAGTAAAGACCATTTTACTAGGAGGGTCTCACAGTTCTATAAGTAAAGACTGTACAAATCAAAAAGGTTGATTGTGTTTTCTTTGATATTTAGTATTTATTTTAAAAATGCTAAATTTATTATACAATTTATAATAAATTGAAAGCATTGCTTATTATAATTAAATTATTTATAAATTTAGAAATTCATTATGGTACTAAGCTAATTAAAATATGGTAGAACTCACTGTGGTCCAGATCATTGACACGAACCTTTTTGAATATTCGCCCTTGGCACTTGTGTGTGTGATAAGCAAGTAAGAATATTTCCCTTTCGATGGACTCACAATCTCAATTCAATTTATTTCGTATTAGCGCAACAAAATTTCAAATAATTTTTTATGTATTCACTGTCTTTATGGCTTGGCAAATCCTTTTACTTTTTATGATACTCTTCTCATCAAGCATTGTTTGCTGTGAAATGTTTTAATCTATATTTTAATTAAA